TAGTCAAAACAAGAATTAACATTTTCAAAAGTGCTGAGGTATTTGAGGTATATTTATACGTATCAAACGTTTATCAGCTTAGTTTCTAGTTTATCAAGGGCTTTTACGTGCTATTCTAACGTGATCTAACTTCTGGATAATAGACAGAAATGTTCTGAACGTTGAAGTTAATACATGGAAGGTCTGCATGGAAATGTTTACACTACAATAATGTATTTCTTAGATAGACGATACAACAGTTAAATTATCTGCTAAGAATGATGCAACAGTTAAATTATTTTCTAAGAGTGGTACAACAGTTAAATTATTTTCTACGAGTGATACAATAATTTTAATTTAAACCGACCTTACTTTCTATGAGTGGTTTGTTGGGAGATTTTGAGGGTTGTTGCAGTTCAGTTAACACTACGCACCTTCATTTTGAGTTTTCCGACCAGTTTTATTTCAGCGTCAGAGAAACATAAGCCAGTAATTAGAAACAACATTTTGGGCTACCAAGTTTGGCGTTTTAACGAAACATTTGTTGTGTACAAGTTGTGAGCGCGATTTGGTCCAAATATGATCAGGAAATATGCGCGCGGACAAAAATCCACGCTGATTATTAAAATCTGTAGCAGTGCAGTAGATTTTACATCCAAGCCAATTTTCATCCTGGCGATACAAATAAATTATTCTTTAAAATCCTCCTTTAGTCCATGCATTTTGAATGTCTGACAAGACTACCTATTTGCATGAACAAAATTCAAATTTGCGGTCAAGCGACTGAACTCTTGATACATTGCAACTGACTGCTGATTTCTGTGAAGTACAAGTGGATTCGGCCGGCTTAGCTAATAACCGCTTACCTCTTGGTTGTGCTTGATGTCCTCGCCCAACACATTTCGTAACTGTGAGCCACGCAGATCTTGCCTTAGCACGTAAGAAATCCATCACAAGACAGTAGCACCGCTTCGCTGACGTAGTTGCTTCTACAGCGTGAGACTGAAGCGATGACCTCTTTTACAAAGTGTGCTTCTCGTTTTAAGGCGTAGATAATAGGCGTAAGGCGTAGATAGTATTTATTGTCAATTCATTTGTCTACTTGTCGTCACTTAATTAACCACCCGTCCGAGCGGTCGCGAGGCAACCGGCAAAATATCGATAGCTGCATCCCGGACGTTGTTCCGTTTCGCCGTATGGCCGCTTTGACAAGAGCCAACATCAGAATAAGAAAAATCACAATCTGAAAACGAAATAATCTTGCCAATTTGCAGCAATTTTAATTTATTTTATTTTTTGATACATGAACTTGACTATCAATGTCAGATTGTTGTGATGTA